ATGGCGGAAAGGAAGCTATAAAATGCTTGCCTCCCCACATTCCAGGGGGTGCCCCAGAAAACAGTCTGTGCAGCACCACAAGGCCTGGAAAGCAAAGGAAACTAGGAAGAGGAGGAAGCAGCCAAGCAGCCCCTTTCGATAGGGAAGGCCACCTGATGCAATGTTTAATTTGGAAAGGGTAATGTGCCCCTCAGTCTTTCTTCTGTACTCATTATACAAGAGAGCTCCAAAATGGGGCGGCATCTCAGCTTAAAGACACGGTTAACTGCCAGGCTGAGGTAATAATCCCACTGCTGAGTCTGGAATTTAAATGCCTCAAGGGCTTAGAAGGGCTGTCGCAGTCTAAAATTCATTTCCAGAGGTTTCATTTAGTTGCAGTGTGATTGCACCTGAGGGTGACAGTAAATGCAGGGAATGCAGAACTAATCATTTAGCAGGCTTACTTTTGCTGTCTTTCAATGTACCACATCTTTCTTTTTTTAAAATGAAACGCCGTTTGGAGAGAAGTGCTGAGCACATTCCGTTGGCTGGAAGCCCCCGAGTACAAATCATTAATGGGCAATATAGAATAAAAAGGATATGGCAGGAGAAAAAAAGTCGGATCGATATTCCCCCTGACTGGTCATACTTACGAGGCATCTTTACGCACAGGCAGATGTGCACATCTGCAGGGCCCTTTCTGTCCTTGATGAGCCCCCACATATCAATAAGATATGACAAATTTCGACAACTTTGCTTATGGAGAATTTTATATTTACAACTGGCCATTGTTTGCATTCATCTATCTCGGGAGACAATGGAGGAGTGCGCCTGTGAAGGTGAAGTCAAACCACTGGAGAGTTACAGTGCCTGCTGTGGCTGTAGAGACTGATATGGGTGACACAGGTTTTGTTGCAGCTGGAGCAGAGGAAGGTGTCTCACCTCCTGGACCTGAGGACTTGGAACATTTCACACGTACGTTTCTTCAGGATTCAGTATCAATTTGTTGGAATGCAACCAACCCATCACTGTCTCCAAGCCCCTCTCTAGCACTTCAGCTCTTTCAGGATTCAGATGAAGCAGAGAGATAGAGTTGGGCGTCCTCCACATATTGGTAACTAGACTCCTGGTGACAACTCTCAGTGGCTTCATATAAATGTGAAATAGCATGAGAAACAAGATGGAAACCTACAGGATGCAGCAGGGTAGCTTCCATGGCATCAAACACTGAATGCCAAGAACTACTTTCCAGCTATTAACTTGGGGCCTCCTTTTCTTGGCAATGAATAGCAACATCCTTGCAAACAAACCCAACTCTCAAGGGAGGCCTTGTTTGATTACAGCTCTGCCTGCCTCAAGCACAGCCGGCCATAGTCCTTGTTATGTTGCATTTTATCCAGTTGGGACACTTACCTGTTAAGCAAGTCTTCGCTCACAAGAGGAGCTTGTTCCTGCATGGAGGAGACCTGGTGAGCTGAGAAATCATTGTCTGGAGATGTGGGTGGGGAAATGGCAGCAGTGGGGCTGTCCTTGGAAAAGCTATTTGCAGGCATTTAAAACCATCAATCCCCTTTTCCTTCATGTAACTGAGAAACACATTTTCTGTGTGTGTGTGTGTGTGTGTTTGGGGTTTTTATTTTTATTTTTTTGCATTCATAATTGGGAGAGAACAGATGGAGAAGGCTTTGTTTAATGAAATATGTCCATTCAATTAACCCATGCCAAGGGGGATTTGGTGCTTCAAAAAGAATCAGCATCAGGAACAGAAGGCTCCTACTACAGACGTCTTAACAATGATAAGGAAGGCTGAGGACATTAGGCATTTGGCAACTGGATTGGGGCCTTGTCCAAATGTGAAACTGTTTACTTTTTGCACTGGGTCAGTGGCATTTGCTGGAGGAAAGGAGAGTGCTTGTTTGGTTCTGAATTTCTGTTTGTAAATTGCCTTGAAAAGTATGTGAAAGATAATTCATAAATTCATCACTGTAATTGTTGTTACTATTGAGATTCCTAATATTGTTTTGTTAAATTTCTTTACCACTTAATTCCAAAATAAGCTTTAAAGTGGTTTACAACGTATAAAAACCAGTAGCACAAACATTAAAAAAACAATAGGCCAGAATTTATTCACCCAATAGAGCAATCCCATTAACACAACACAGAACTTAAAACAAGAAACTCAGGTCATGAGATGAATATTATTGGTGATGATAATAGCATTGCTGGATCAGACAAAAGGCCTATTCAGTCCAGCATCCTGCTCCCCACATTTGTTAACCAGGTACCTATGAGAAGATCTAGGTATAGGGCAGTGTTTCCCAACCGGTGTTCCGCGGCACACTAGTGTGCCGCGAGACGTTGCCTGGTGTGCCGCGAGATGTTGCCTGGAGGGAGGCGGGCGAGTCGGGCGGCGAGAGGCGGGGCGGCGGCGGCGAGGAGAGGCCGCCCAGCGCGGGGCTCTCGCCATCTGCCTGCCTGGCTGCCTGCGTGGCGCTGACGTCACGGGGCTGTAACGTGCCCCACATAGGCACACGCGGGGCGGCGAGCGAGCTCCCTCCCACATCCCATCGCCGCTCGCTTCGGCCGGCCTACTGGGCTGTCGCAGGCGGAAGGCCTGCGCATGCGCGAGATTTTCGCGCCTTCGGGATTCCCTTCACGCCTTCCTCCTCCCGGGTCCTTGAGAGCGCGGGAAGCGGCAGCGCGAGACCGCCGTTGAGCCTGGTAGGTATTGCCAAGGCAGTCATTTGGGAAATGAAAACTTGCAAAGCAAGCAACCAGTTCAATTTGAAGTACGTGTATGCTTAATATCCTGTATCTGAAACCTGTTCTGCCCCCTCCCCCACACTTGGTGCCATTTTCATCTACACATGCAGCAGAGTAAGTTGACCCAGAATAGTACCAATTCAGATGGCAGATGGGAGAATGACAGTGCTGAATGCTTTCCCATGTAGAACAGTCCCTGCAAATAAAAACCTAGCATATTTGGAAGAGGGATGCTAGCCTAACCATTACCTTCTATGCTGTTACTATTTTTTTATTTTTTTTTTACATAAGTAAAAAGTAACCTTTCCCCATCTGGCATGGTGGTGTGCCTCGAGATTTTTTTCATGAAACAAGTGTGCCTTTGCCCAAAAAAGGTTGGGAAACACTGGTATAGGGCGCTATATAAATTCAGTGAAGAAGAAGAAGAAGAAGAAGAAGAAGAAGAAGAAGAAGAAGAAGAAGAAGAAGAAGAAGACCAGAACTGGCACACCATGCTCAGCATTCTCACAAGGCACATGAATAAGCTTGGCTTGTCCTATATTTAACAGTTTGACAAGTTGAGTATGCCAACCCATTGGGACAACTCCATCACTTGTGTGCAGTTCTGAACTTCTTGTCCTGATTTTGGACTCCTTAAAACTGGACCACCAAATTTCCTTGCTTGCCATGTAGCCTGAGTGTAGAAGCCACTGTGCCTTGTTACCTGTTTCTGAGCTATAAATATTCTCTGCTTCAATGAATACCCCTTCCTTCCTTAGTCAAGAGCCTCTGTGATCATAGTCTGGGCAGGAGCTAGGACACCCTCCTGGGAAGCAGCAGTGACCCCACTAGCAAGAAGCCTAGCATTGCAGATCCACCCCATGGGGCAAGCCACCTTTGAAGCCTACAAGTAGGGCAGCACCACCACCACATCCTGCCTCTGTTGTTTCCCAGTGTCCAGTAGCCATGCTTCATAATGCGTAAGTCACACCCAGATGGAGGTCACAGGAGAGGGAAGACATATCAGCATGGAGAAAGAGGCGCCTTGTTCAGAAAAGTGTTGGGCTGCTGTCATGCAATATCTTGAAAACCTGGCACCACAATTTTCCTTACAGGGAAAGGGGTGACATTCTTTGATGTTGATTTGGATGGAAAGAACAGAAGCGTTTCCCGCAAAACATCTAAGAAGGCTGAGCGGTGGGTAACGGAAACGTGACACACATGTGCTGTGACATATAATAAGAACAAAAAGTGTGCCAAGTCAATTAGAGTATGCATAAGGGCACATCAGACACCCGCTCAGACATTTACCAAAAACACTAACAGGCCCCGACAAGCCAGCCCTCTGTGGTGACACCCAATGGAAGCCTACAGCTAGCAAGGGACAGTAAGCTACTCCTAAAAACCCCGTCCTGACACCTCACTGGAAACTTCTCTTCAAACCTGGCTTGTTGACTTCTGCTCACTTGGGATTTACTTTCTCTAATTTGTAATTGATTTTGACCTTTTCCTCCAAGTCACTGGTTATTCCTAATGACAGGAGGACACCAGGCCAAATGGATCCTTCACCTGACACGGATGAGGCATGAAAGGAGGGAGGTCTGGAGAGTTTGTCATTGGCCTTCTCTTAAAAATAGTTCTGTTACCCTCCTTGATATCATCGCTGTCTCATTTTTACATAGAGCTCTAACAACAAGGCTCCTTATACAGCTAGATGAGTGGTCCATCTAGTTCGATATTGGTGGTGACTCCTGGGGTCTCAGAGGCTTTTCACAACACTGCTAACTCGTTTCCTTAAGAATGGAAATGCTGAGGATTTAATAATAATAATAATAATAATAATAATAATAATAATAATAATAAATATATTATTTATACCCTGCCCATCCGGCTAGGTTTCCCCAGGCACTCTGGGCAGCTCCCAACAGAATATTAAAAGCATGATAAAACATCAAACATTAAAAACTTCTCTAAACAGGGCTGCCTTCAGATATCTTCTAAAAGTCAGATAGTTGTTTATTTCCTTGACATCTGATGGGAGGGTGTTCCACAGGGTGGGTGCTACTACCGAGAAGGCCCTCTGCCTAGTTCCCTGTAACCTCACTTCTCGCAGTGAGGGAACCACCAGAAGACCCTCGGAGCTGGACCTCAGTGTCCGGGCAGAACGACTGGGAGTGGGGAGAGACGCTCCTTTAGGTATACTGAACCAAGGCCATTTAGGGCTTTAAAGGTCAGCACCAACACTTTGAATTGTGCTTGGAAACGTATTGGGAGCCAATGTCGGTCTTTCAGGACTAGTGTTATATGGTCTCGGCAGCCACTCCCAGTCACCAGTCTAGCTGCCAATCAAACCCAAGTGGAGGTGCTTAGCATTCAAAATACATGCTTTGTCATTGAGCTCTATATGATTCCCACCCCTGTATTAGGCATTATTACTAGGGATGGGTGAACTTGTCCATTTTGATTTGTGATTTGTCTGAAATTCTCGTTTTTCCAATCTTCAGTTTCTGGACTTCGAAAAGCTCAGAGTTTCCTCATTTTGCTGTATGTATGATGGAGAAAAAGGTAACAATTCTCATCACCTCATGATGGGGGGGGGCAGTGGGGGAGCTCAGAGGCTTCATGGGTGCCAGGGGAAGATCTCAAGGTGACAGCAGAGGCCACATTGATGACCCTTGGCTTAGTGCATGAATGTAAGAAATAGGCGCAGCTATTTGCTCAAGGGCACTCAGAAGGCATGACTGCTAGACCATTTTCTCCCTTGGCACCTTGTTGTGTAAGAACTTACGCAGTGAGTATCCAGACAAACCAACTTTCGTCTTAACAATCTTGTGCCTGCTGCTGCAAGGTTATCTTAAGAAAGCAAAACTTCTGTCCCCCATGGAAAAAAGATTATAAGAAAATGCACATTTTATAATCTCCTACTTTTGTATCTGAGCTGACAATGCAGAGGTATTCAACCAAATGAGGCAGCGCTTCCTTTTCTCAAAAACAGGATAATTAAGAATGTGAAACATTGACAGTCAAATTCCCATGCAGGTGTGAGCAGTGCTTTTCCTCGGGATGCCAGCAGCCTAGAATACAATCTCAGGTGTGCGGTAAACAGCTGAAATGGACAAAAAGGAAAATTGATTTTCAGAAATTAAGAAATGATTGCATTGACAGTAATAATAAATTAATGCTGTATCTTAGCTAAAATTGCTTTTGGTACTTCTGAAGAACCCTTTGGTACCTCTAATGTGATTCCTGATCATTTCCAGCAAATATCTGAATTATCTTCAGTGGATTATCCCATGTCATTACAGAACATTCTATTTGTTACATGGTTTCTGGTTGTTTGCACAAGCCACACTTTACTTCCTCACACACAATTGTGTCACTATATCATTTGTCATTACATAACCTAGAGGAAGGGCCATAGCTCAGGAGTAAAGCATGCCTGGCATGCAGAACGTCTCAGGTTTTGATCCCCATCATCTTCATGTAAGGCTGGGAGAGCTTCTGCCAGTCAGTGTAGACAATATTGAGCCAAATGGACCAGTGGTAGAAGGCAGCTTCCTATGGCTCACCCGGATGGGCAGGCTATAAATAATAAATTATTATGAAATTGTTATGATGATGTGTCCTTCACCCAATTTTCTTCATGGTGTTTGGCTTCTAAACCCACACAATCAGTTTTATGAAGCAAAGGAACCAACAGAACTGAAAACTTAAGTGAATAATGGATATTGCTGCGGTATTTAGTTATTTGTTTATTCATTTATCAAATGTGTTAATTGCCTTTCTACAGAAAACAGAGCAATGAACATTCAACTGAAATCTAAAAGCATAACAAATAACAAAAACAAAGAGATGGCAGCAGCAAAAATTAGGAACATTTAGAATATATCAGGGATGTCCAACCCCGCGGTCAACAACTTTGGCTCATCCTCCCCCCAAAAAGTTCAACAACTCTGGTCAATCCAATGGGTAGATCACATCCAGTTTATTTATAGTGGAAGTAGATCACTGTCTCTTGGAAGTTGGACATGCCAGGAATATATTTTTTAAAGGAGGTTTGTATTCTGTGTCTAAACTCTAATGCTGAGGTAGCTGGGTGGGCATACAAAATAGTATTGTAAGGGATAATGCATGAGCATATAAATGTGTATTTTGGGGGGCACTCCTACCTTCTCCCCTTCCAGTGTGGTGTAGTGGTTAAGAGCGGTAGACTCGTAATCTAGTGAACCGGGTTCGCGTCTCCGCTCCTCCACATGCAGCTGCTGGGTGACCTTGGGCTAGTCACACTTCTTTGAAGTCTCTCAGCCCCACTCACCTCACAGAATGTTTGTTGTGGGGGAGGAAGGGAAAGGAGAATGTTAGCCGTTTTGAGACTCCTTCGGGTAGTGATTAAGTGGGATATCAAATCCAAACTCTTCTCTTCTTCTTCCCTAGCCCAGCTGTGCTCTACAGAGTGAGGGGCCATCACTGAACCTGCAGCCCTGCTGCTCAAGGCATCCAAAGTGGAGTGAGCAGAGGCAGATTTCTGCTCCAGCCCGAAACTGGTTTAGCAACCAGGCCCAGATTCTAGAATCTAGAATCTAGTCCTCACCAAGGCAGACAACATTACCATTTCAGATAAGAGACAGGGATGCACCTGACCAAATGCTCTTTCAAATAAATACCGGTAATTGGTATGGCACTCCAATCACACCCATTTTTAACGTATGAAATGGTGGAATGCCAGGAACATTGAGGCCTCTTCCATTTCTAGTGTTAAATCTGGCTGACCTTAGATCACTTTCCTGAGTGACTTGGTATAGGAGGAAAAAATGTGTGAACAGCCCTGTCACCTCTCACATTCACAAGGTGGCTGTCTTGATATTAGCAGAGTCCTGAGGCAGGGTCAGAAGTGGATCATCATTCAGATGAGTGGCAGGCATCCAGAATGGCGGCTGAGAACGTTGGCTTTGCACAGCAGCTCCCTTAAATGAGGTTAAGCTCCCGCATTCTGTCTGTCTAAGCAGAAGATTCTTAAAAGAAACACCCTCTGGCACTGCAGAGCAGAGATAGTCATCTATGCAATGACATTTCATGAAATACAAGGCAGATCAGAAATAAGGCTGGTCAAGTGATTTCTCCAGCCAATCCACTTTCCCACAGAAATTGCCAAAATACCCAATATTTCATGACAAAAGTCTATGAGGGTTTGTTTCATTTTTAATTAATTTTTTATTACAAAAATCCAAATGCTCTAGTCTTGTTTCCCACAAAATGGAATGCAGCACTCAGGAATAAGCCCACAGACTCCTATGTGTCATGTAAACTGACCTGCTATATTTCTTAGCTTCTTCTTTTTAAATTTTTATTTATAAATTTATAAGAGTACAAAATACAGGACTGAAGAATAAAAAAGAAATAAGTGAAAGAAAAGGAAGGGGGGAGAAAAAAAGATACTGTAGATACATTACATCAATTCTGTTCCATCGACTTCCCATCCATCCTTCCATGGCTCCCTAAATTTTCCCATTCCTTCTTCATATTTTATTTTTTCTAACTATTGAAAGATTCAAATTCTTCTCATTATAATATATTTCTTAGCTTCTTGGGGGCTACACACACACTGGACATTTGCTATATAATGTAATTTACACATTTCCTATTTTACATGATGCATATGTTAAAAAGATGGGTTCAAGCCAGAACTGCTGTTCCATCTGCAAAAGAGATCAGGTCCAGGAGAGGTTCCCCCCATGAACTGGATGTTCCTGTGGGTGAAAGAGACTGTCTGATTTCCACCAATACCCCATCTCCCCTGCAGCTTCCAGTCCCACCTCCCAGAGGGTTCCCCAACTGAGTTCCAAATGGTTCTCCAATTCTCAAGACCAGATTTTGGGGGCCAAAGTGGTCTGCAACAAGAGGGGCAATCAGTGGGATCCACTTTTCCTCTTTCTGCCCCCACAAGCATTCAGCTCACAGAATTCCACTCTGTGAAACTCTAGGTCCAGCCCATAACATGTGAATGAGACGTGTTTGGAAATACACGGCTTGCTCAGGTATATTTATCTGTAATACTCCATCAACAATCCCATGTTGCTGTTGCTGATGTTCAATTTGCGGAAGTGCCTCAATCGTGAAGTTTTGGAGAAAGGTGAGGGAAACTATGCCTGGCTCCTGTGGATTACAGTGCCGTGTGAGAGGGCAGCAGGGAAACATGGTTGTTAGCCAGGACTACTGTGACTACTTAATTGCCACATGCATCTAATGACATGCTAGTTTCTCTTCTCCTTCCACACTCTGCTGCCTTGTCTCAATTACTCCATTCAATCAGCAACTCTGTTCCCATATTAATAAAGCAAGGCTGTGGCTGTTCCTCGCTGCCACTTACACTCAGAAGCCTCAGCCTGCAGAACTCATTTAGCTGCGGAGTGCAGCTTGCACCTTGGTCCAAATTCATTTGATGATGTGGCTTCCCATATGTAAAAAAAAAAGGGGGGGAGTGGGAATCAACAAATAAAGAGAAGGCGAGCAGATGAAACCCAGCAGCTGCTTAAACCCATTTGATCGCATTCATTAGCAATGAGGTTTTCAGAGGAGCAGCTAGTCAATTCTAATTTACGAATTAATAGATGTTGTCAAGGCAGATATAAGGCTGTCATTCTCAGGTAGGCTCAAGCAGGTCTTTGACAGGCAAACACGCAATGCAACCTGTGCTGGAGAACACGTACCAATTAGTCAACCAAGAGATTCTGAAGGTACAAGTGTTGTCCTGAACATCCTTTTCCCTATCTGTTTGCCATCATCAGATAAACACATCCTGTTGTTCGAGTGGTCTATTCTACCAGGAGGAAAATTATTACCCTTGCCAGCCAGCTTAGCACGTGTGCTTCGGTGCTCAATCACCTGTCAAGATTCTCCCCTAGAGAATGAATGCCTCAAAAGGAAAGGAAAGTACCGATGAAAGTTCAGGTGGCATATGATTTTATTTTATTTTTCAAATGACAATTTGTGATCGACAATGCAGCTGCTTAACTTTACCAGGGAATACAAGACGAACAACAGCAAGCTGACCTGTCACATTGATTATCTTATAGTAGCAGCAACGATAGGTTCTGTTCATACATGGAAAGGATAGAGTGTAGCCTTAAAGATGTGAAGCCCTTCAAAATGAGCCACCTGAGACCCCAGCAACACAGTTCAGAAGAGTCTTTTCACTGCTCTGTTGTTGCTGTTGAGAACAAAAATGTTATTAAGCACAAGCCAGCTCACAGACAAGTAAGCAAGGCAAATGAAAAGTTATTGCAGGAAATGAAGACTGCAGTCTAACACAAAATTATGTCAGCTTAAGGTCCATTAGTTTCAATGGGCTTGCATCCACTTCACTGTGATAGAATGTAACTACAGTATATGTTTGAAACTGCTAGGGACGCGGATGGCGCTGTGGGTAAAAGCTTCAGTGCCCAGGGCTTGCCGATCAAAAGGTCGGCGGTTCGAATCCCCGCGGCGGGGTGTGCTCCCGTTGCTCGGTCCCAGCGCCTGCCAACCTAGCAGTTCGAAAGCACCTCCGGGTGCAAGTAGATAAATAGGGACCGCTTACTGGCGGGAAGGTAAACGGCGTTTCCGTGTGCTGCGCTGGCTCGCCAGATGCAGCTTGTCACGCTGGCCACGTGACCCGGAAGTGTCTCCGGACAGCGCTGGCCCCCGGCCTCTTGAGTGAGATGGGCGCACAACCCTAGAGTCTGTCAAGACTGGCCCATACGGGCAGGGGTACCTTTACCTTTTTAAACTTGTTTATGTGAAAGTATGTGTTAATAATTCACTGGTATTTCTTTCTGTACAGGTTTCCACTTGCTATAGTAATTATGAGGAGTGTGTCTTTGTATCTGTACCTGTAGTATCTGGGAGCAGCCTGGTCCATTTTGGATCCATTCTGAATCGATTCATTATCTGGGCCTGAATCTGATCTGTTAAATCAAAGCTGTGTTTCACCTCTGTTGATTATAATGGGGAATCTAAAAACACCCTTAACCTTACCCACCACCCTCTTTTTCTGCTTTCTGCATAATGGGATAAGATTTGCAGGCCAAAGAACTGCTGTAATAACGAATTATAGCTGCCAATGTTTAGACAGATCCATCCAGGGTTTTTTCTGTGCAAGGAACCTGGTTTTAAAGTGGAGGGGGGAGGATTTTTTTAAAATTTTCTGCCAGAATTGGAGGCATACTGCAGGCATAGCTGCCCTTTCTAAGGATATGGAGATGAATGATTTTGAATTGTGTGTTAGGAAAAAGAATGATTGGAAAGAAGCAGGTCATTTCAATAGCCTACCTCCGTCACAGCCAAAATTTGGGGAATGATGACCCACCTGAAGAACAACTCTGTTTCTTTACTTTAGCATCCTTCCCCAAAAAAACCCCACTGTGATTGGCATGTACTGGGAAACTAATTCACTGTAATTGAAAACTAGACATGTCCATCTCTTCACCCCATCCTCTCCCAGGCTCTGTGCATTTCTGCAGTCAGATTGGTTACATTTCTTTGAAAAGAAAACGAGGGAACAGATGTACAGTTAACTTTTGGGGGGAGGGGAACTAGGCAATAGAGCTACTCAGAAGGCTGAGGACTCCGTGATCCACTTCAGCATGACCTGCCAATAGTGTGATCCAACTCAGAAAATGTGCACATCTGCTCCAAATCACCCCTGTTCACCTCATCATCTGAGGTACATGAAAGCACAACCCTTAGCAGTTACCAGTTGCTTCCTTATTTTTTCAGACACTGTAGATTATCCATTCCCTAGTTTTTCTATTCCCTTTCCCTCTTTGAATATGTGAAAGGTATTAGCTACTCCTTCCAAATGCCCTGAAAACAGAGGCTTTTGCTTGCTCTAGTTGACCTCTTAGAACACCCCCCCCCCCGTCAAATCCCTATAGTCTAGCTTTTGGGTTAAAAATCAGGAGGAGAGACCTTCTCAAGATATACAGAAGGCACCATTCCTCTAAGTACCTGTCATTGGGGGACAACGGCAGGAGATGGTTATTGCTCTCAAGTCCTCCTTATGGGGCATTGTGAGAAGCAGGACTCTGGACTTCTGGATCAGTCTCTTTCAACAGGACTCTTCTTATGGATTTCTGCATGGAACCAGAAAATAATTCACAAACTATTTGACAGAATAGGACTAAAGTCTTGGTAATACATTTCATTGCCTGCTAGGTCATACCTCCAAATCTCATTTGTCCTTGATTTACTAATATAAAACTCTTGTGGGTCACAATTCCAGTTTCTGCCCTGCTGTTTTTTATTCCTCTCCTTCAAGATGTGACCACAGGCAGCTAACATTTAAATGCAATCAGATTTTTTTTCTTCCCCCTGAACTGAATCTCACCATTCCTCACACTGATTTCTTAAGAGGTAATATGACTGCATACTTCTTGGGGCAGGTCCCCACCACACATTCCAAACAAATGACTTCTCCCAAGGAATTCTAGGAGATATCGTTTATCATACATGCTGGAAATCATGGCTCTGTGAACCCAGGATTCTCCCAAGATTCTTTGGGGAGACATCATGCGCTTTGGACATGCACTGGGTGTGCTTTGTGGATTTATCCTTGGAAAGCCATTCAACTAGATCACAGATTTCACCTGTGTTTGAAGGAGCCAAATACAGGTGAGCTTCATTGCCTGAGAGGAAATAGCAAGGCTGTTGCTCCTCTTTAATCTTGTCACTTCTTGCACGCTTGAATGGGCAGTGGAAGAGGCAGCAGCAACAAAGAGGAGGAGGAGGAAAGCTAGAGACCACTGCGGCCCCTGCTGGATTCTGGGCCACCCAGCCACCTGAGGTTCTAAGCTGAGGAGCAAATCACAGAACCTTTAGTAGATTCAGCTGCATTCCCGTTTTTCTTTTTGCAGTGGAAAGGAAAAGGATTTGTGAAGCAGATCTTTTCATTTGCAGTGGGGAAAGGTAGACTTCTCAAGTCTTAAGGCAGTTGACCGAGTGCTCCAAGCAATGGTTGCACTTTTAAAAAGACCTTCTCAGTAATCTGAGTGGAACCACGGGATATTGTTCCTTTTCTACCCTGCTCTCAAATCAAGAAGAAGGCAATGGTTTGGGTTTGCAGCCAGGCAATATGTTGAACGTGTACTTTTTGCATCATCTTCAAGGGTGAGTATCTAAAAAAAAATAAGTCATTCAATGGGAATAATGCAGCCAGGCTTGACTATGACTGACAAGAGTGAAATGAGGGGAAAGAAAGGAGGGAAACGCTGTGTGTGGTAACCTTTCCACATGTCAAATGTCAAAAAAAATATCTTAACAGCTCTCTTTAAAATGAATTCTGCATCCTTTCATTGACATCTTTTCCAACAACCAAGCATCACTGAAAGAGATATTTGCCCTGCTGATAGGCAGTGGGGAAGGAGATGTGGGAGCCCTTTGGAAACTCTAGTATGGGATTAGCTTTCCCAAAGATAGATAGATAGGTAGATAGATAGATATAGATAGATAGATAGATAGATAGATAGATAGATAGATAGACAGACAGATAGATAATACTTCATTCGGCTATAAGCCCACAAGGTAAAACCAATCAATAAATAAAATAGCATTTTACATTCTAAAATATCAACTAAAATATTTCAGCGCATAATCTCCTTCACGTTACATACAATCTCTAGATGTACCATATTGTGGCCTTGAATATAAAGATGGTGGATAGAGTTTACTAGATTTTTAATAGTCATGCAGCATTCCATGAAGTCTTTTATATGAAAGAACTGAATTCAGGAATCTGGCAACCTGTAATGTTCTATAAGAGTCAATGTCCTGGAGTAAATAGGCTAGATGTAATTCAGGTGGTTTAGCAACAGTTTCCAAAATGATTGAACTCAGAATCCTTGATCAGGGAACAATATATAAAGGACAATTAAACAAGATATGATAAAGGGATTCTATTGATTTGTTGTCACATGAGCATAAAACAGAGGTTTTACCGTTAGAAAATCTCTTGCTCAGCACATTTGAGGGGAACACATTAAATCTGGCTCTAACAAAAGTGAATCTATGATTTCCCAAAGATATATGCACTCACACACACTCCACTAACCTGCAATCTACTAATAATAATAATAATAATAATAATAATACATTTAATATTTATACCCCACCCATCTGGCTGGGTTTCCCCAGCCACTCGGGGCGGCTTCCAACAAAATATTAAAATACAGTAGTCTGTTAAACATTAAAAGCTTCCCTAAAGAGGGCTGCCTTCAGATGTCTTCTAAAAGTCTGGTAGTTGTTCTTCTCTTTGACATCTGGTGGGAGGGCATTCCACAGAGCGGGTGCCACTACCGAGAAGGCCCTCTGCCTGGTTCCCTGTAACTTGGCTTCTTGCAGTGAGGGAACTGCCAGAAGGCCCTTGGCACTGGACCTCAGTGAACAATGGGGGTGGAGACGCTCCTTCAGGTATACAGGACGAGGCCGTTTAGGGCTTTAAAGGTCAGCACCAACACTTTGAATTGTGCTCGAAAATGTACTGGGAGCCAATGTAGGTCTCTCAAGACCGGTGTTATGTGGTCTCGGCAGCCACTCCCAGTCACCAGTCTAGCTACCGCATTCTGTATTAGTTGTAGTTTCCGGGTAACCTTCAAAGGTAGCCCCAAGTAGAGCGCATTGCAGTAGTCCAAGCGAGAGATAACTATAGCATGCACCACTCTCGTGAGACAGTCCATGGGCAGATAGGGTCTCAACCTGCATACCAGATGGAGCTGGTAAACAGCTGCCCTGGACACAGAATTAACCTGTGCCTTCATGGACAGCTGTAAGTCCAAAATGACTCCCAGGCTGTGCACCTGGTCCTTCAGGGGCACAGTTACCCCATTCAGTTTACAGCAGTATCAAACCACTTTAAACTGTTATGGTGGTTTCTCCCAAAGACTCCTGGGAACTATAGTTTGTTAAGGGTGCTGAGAGTGGTTGATAGGCTCCTATTCCCCTCACACAGCTACAATTCCCAGAGTGGTTTAACAATCACTCCCTCTTCCTGGGAAACTCTGGGAAGGAATGTGAACTTTGTGGTTGGTTTCTTCTCTTTCTTATATCTCTCACTTCACACTGATTAGCAGCAACAATCATTGTTCCCTGTGTCTTTTTAGAGTAAGATTTTAGTAAGAGTGGTCTAAGGCTCCAGGACCCCTCAGTGCATTGACCTGGGGAGGGAGGAATATGTACATTCACAGGTGAAAATATACTTTAATTTAATTTAATTTTTAACAAGATGAATGACTTTCCCATGCATGAAAACCAAATTGTCAGCTAACGTGTCAGTTAAGCTTAATGTTCATTGGATCATCATTGGGTTTGTGCAGGATGTTTCAAAGACATCCCGGATGTTTGGATTCTAATTAGGCTGAACAGGCATGGTGAGTTCACAACAACAGTTGAGGCATGACACGGTTCACACTGCTCTTCCCTTCAGTGTTAGATGTGGTCCAGCAACAGAACTCTCTGAGATCCTGACTCTGAGATATCAAAATATTTGCCAAAAGCTCTCGCACGAATCAAGCACACATGATGTGAAACAATGATATTTGATAGTTCTGTATGTGTACACTTGCCTAGCATCTGCCTGCAGTGTGGCACTGTTACTAATCCTAAATTCAGGTAACTCATTGTTTTTCAGAAAAAGAAACAAAGAAGAATACACACACACCCGTTGGGATGCATGAATTATTATTACAGAATTCAAATATATGTACATAAATTTCTACCATCAAACTGTCGCCTGTGAAACACCTCCGTCTCATCTTTCCCATGTCCTCATAGCCTGGATCCCCCATTTTGTTTTCACACTTCATCCTGCATACAAAAATATTTTTTCAAACCACTGCCTTGGAGCTGACTTTGTAATGAAACCCAATGGGCATGTTAAAAACAAAACACATGCACAAGGAGGAGGAGAACCGCTTGCATAGCATGGGGTGAAATATGTTGCCTGAGATATAAACAGATCTTATTGTAATGCTCTCAGAAAATCCCCAGTGCTCTGGGCTTGAAATCAAAGATGTTCGGTTGATGCAGGCAAAGAAAGATAGATTTATTTATTGTGTTGACTTATTTCTAGCACCATTCTGGGTGGCCTCTATGAGAACAGGATGCTGAGCTAAATAGGCCATTGGCTTGATCCAGCAGGCTCATCTTATCTTCTTATGCTTTCTGTTGTGCAAATGGGTGAAAGCTACCATTATGGTCAAGAATACCACAAAAAGAATTGCTCTTTAAATCAGGCACTTTTGGGCAAGAAAAAGATACGGTGTCAAAAGTGCCTGATGAGTAACTTTTGCTGTTTAAATCAGTGGGACATAAAAGTGCTCATCTTTGGCTGCAATTTACCCAAAGTTCTAGAAATCTCCTTCCTTTCTGTTTTATTCATAATTGCTCTTTCCTTAGGTCAGGAACTGTGAAATTCTCAATCATGTAATCAATCATTTATAGCAAAAAGTTAGCATAACTTCAGTGTGGAGAAATGGCTGATATATTAGTGAGGCAAATTTGGGATGCAGGCTGTATCTGGCAAGGGATATGATCTGGACAAATTTCAGATAATTTGAATGAAGTATATCTGAAATCTAGCAGGGCCTTCTTAAATACAATTCTTTCAGGTGCAGTTGTCCCGTGTTCCATTTCATGTCTTTCTACCCCAAATAAAAAGAACACACATTTTTTGGTCTTGTCCCTGGGAAATCTATTTTGGAAATGAGAGTGGCTTGAAATGTGATTACATTGTAAAAAGATCCAATAAATCATGAAAAAGCATTAAGAAACTATAATATAGCATTTATAGTCCCTTTTATCCCTCTCCTGTTTCCTTTATGTAAGTACCTTCCATACAGTCATGACCATATTCCCCCCTTTTCTGGTCATTATGCTTTGATCACTATCTGATATATAACATCTTAATTATGACATTGATAGTAATAGTTTATATACAAGCTAAAAGCAGAATGGTGCCTATCTAAATCTGATATGGTAAAGAACCCTTCCGTCATACAAAGTAGTTCTGTAATTGGATATTAATTTGTGCCTTCCAAGCTATATATATATAAAAAAGAATATATTTCCATAAGATGTAAAG